TTAGCTTGGCGGCATTTTCACATTTTTCAATAGTTTTCACAAAATTGGATTCGGTGCTCCAATACATACATAAACAGTCTAAACGCACTTGGGTAAACATTTGCACCATAGTGGCGCTTAGACTGTGCTTAACCTGGGTAATTTTTTGAATTTTTAAACCAAAATTACAAAAATATTTTTAAAAAAAATATTAGAAACAAAATTTTTTTTCCGAAAGCAATTATTTTGTTGAAACAAGCAGAAAGTTCTTTGAATCATTTAAATCGGACGCTTAGTTTTCTCAAAAACTGCCATTTTTTTAACATTTAGCTCTGAATCTTCGAAATGGCGGGACCTGTCTTTGCCAAAAACTAATCACCTCTTCTCCCAATCATTACAAATTGAATGTTTTTTAGATCATTCAAATCCGATGCTCCGAACTCTCAAAAACTAGATTTCTATTTTCTGCACTCTTTGCTCCGTATCTCCGTAACGGCTGGACTTGCCTTTGTCAAAAACTAATCAGCACAACTCGCTATCAATAGGGATCAAATTCAAGGATTCAAATCGGTTGATCCGTGCGCCCGAAAACGTGGACGAAAAAATGCGGACAACGCACACACACACATCCATTTTTTTCTGAGGTATGCCAGTAAAATGTTCAGAAACCTTCAAAACGTCGAGAAATGCAAAAATGTTCATTTTCGATGTTTGGCCCATTACTATAACTCCTCTACAAGAAGTTAGCAAAAATGCAATTCTTGGACCGATTCTGCCGCATAACAGAAAAATGTTATGGCAAGGCCATGTAATGAAGAATTTTCCATACTAAATATTGATAAAAGCCATGCATTTAGATAGAAAACATAACCTAGAAACCGCACATTACATAACAGGGTCTTTCTGACTCAGCTCCATAACATACGAGTGACGTTACAGTTTATGTGTAAAGCAAATACATGACATTATGACAGTGTTCTCTGTTACATCTAATTATCAAAATATCGCTTGTATCTTTCGTGATTGAATGTTGAGCTGTATTGGATGTATCATCGAGTGAAACATCCCATTCAGCATCCCAATATACAATATTTATTTTTATACTACGGATACAGGATTAAATTTAATAATTACAGAAAATAAATTATCTTAATTGAATTAATTACAGTAAAATACAACTATTAAACAATATTAAGCCTAACATTAGTATTATCTAATACAATAAGTTGAAGAAATTTTTTTTTATAAAATTCAAATAGTTTAATTAGGGCTTGTAGATCTTGAGATTCTTCTTATGGTAAAAAAAATCCTTTAAAGATCCGTTATGCAATTTGAATTTAAGTCTCATGTCTGGAAAATAATAATTAAGAGCAGTACCAAAAAAGAATATATAATATGAAAATAATTATAATGATAAAACACTTGAAGTAGAAAAATGTTAAAATAATTTAGAATAAAAATTAGAAAAAGTATGCAAAAGGGAAAAATTAATTGTAATTGTTGGAAAAAAGTATCAATTATTATCAGTAGGCATTTCATTATCAAAATAATGTTTGATACCGAAATTGGCAAACTTAGAAGTATCGTAGAAACTTTGAGCTTTTAAATGTTTAACAATGGTATTATGAAATTGACGATCATTCAGTTTCCTAATATGTAGTGGGAGTCGATTAAAAAGCTGTACTCCTCTTCCATATAAGCATATCAGCAGTAATTATATTGTGGACACCAAATAACATACATCATAGCCATAGACGCTTTACTGTAACGTCACTTGCTGAGCGAACGTTGCCGACAATCGCGGACGTTCCCGATTGAATAAATCACAGTGTGGGAGTCGTAATGATTATGATAATATATTAAATTAGAAACTCCCAACATAAAAAAATAATATAAATTTATTAATTATAAAAATATTTCGATATCAAAAATATACATGACATGTACAATTGTTTTTTACAAATCCAACCCAGCCTGCTTGATATCCCCACAACAGTGACGTCACAGTCCCTTCTATGTTTGTCCATATAGTGTAATGTCTATGATCACAGTACATACGACATATTAACAACCAACTATCGAATTATGTTAGTATGTGTCCCTGCCCTTATCCTCGTCTATTAAACGACCCCCACGAGATCGGTGGAAACGAGGCGCGAGTGCCTGTTCGCGACCGCAATGCTGTCCTTAATGCCTCTTTGTGAGAAAGGAAAAGGGGATGGATGTTCTATGTAGATGCAAAGTGTGAGATGTGAGATGTGAGATGTTGTACACCTGGATTACCATCAGGTGGTGGACGTGTTGATATATGGGTTTATAATGATGGGTACAAATTGCTAATAAGGAGAACCCGCGCGTTGCTCGTCTCGGATTTTAATGAATCTTGGCACAATGGTAGATTTGATGCCCAAACTGACCGTGGTAAAATATTAGATGCCTATGTAAAGCGATTTAATTATAAAAATTAATTAAAGTTTGCATTTTAGCAGCGCGCGTCATGCATAGCTTGCAATGCTTTTCCTTATCAATAGCAGATTGGCCTAGTGGCTATCGTTGTGAAATTCTAATTTTTGCTCCGGAGTTCAATTTCTAATTCATGTATAATATTTTTTTATTATTTTTGTTTGAAATTTATAATTTCACGTGTTAAATTTCACGTGTTATTAAAACATTATAAAAACTTATTCTCCTTATAAGAATAATAATAGATGTATGCTCGGATAAGCATTTTCTCTTACTTTACCATATAATATGATGCAATTTGTTTTGAAAGTTTATAATCTGTGAATTACAAATTTTTAGTTCTAGCTTTTTATGTTATTTAAGGAAAGCAGTGGCGGGTGTCTATTAATCACGTGAGACTTTTAGGGAATAGTGGGGTTTGACAAAAAATCACGAAACATCACGCGGGGGGTCTAGTAAGATGTAACTTGTATTTATTTTTAATCTGAGTTTTTAAAACCTAACACATTAGAAAAAATATTACGATTTTTTCATAAATTCGAAAACATTGTTCGTAACTAAAAATACACGCGATTTTTGATGGGACAGAGGGGATAATTTTAAATATTGACGTATCACCAAGGAAGTCCAAAAATCCCTAAAAAATCGATCAAGTGATTAATGAATGGACGTCTTCTAAGATGATAGATGATGCTTAAAAATTAACCGAATTAAAAGGAAAATGTGTATAAAAATGATACTATTTTTGTAAGAAATTTTATTTAGTACATATTTATATCACTTTTTAAATTTTTTTTACCGCGAGTGGATTTATAATAATCTTAGAAAAAGTATTACTTGACGTAAAACGTACAGGACACACTTGATTAGACATCAAAATTCGGTATAAATTGTTAATATTTTGTAAATAATTAAATGTGAACTATAATTTTTGTTACAGATTTTAAAGCACCATGACAAAGTTCGAAACATTCGTCTTGCCTGATTTTCCTTCAACATTAAGGTAATTTTTATAATGTAATATATCATAATTATTTATTTTTTTGTATACGAAAATATATTCTGAAATTATTAATGACTAATATACATATTCAGGGCGCCCCGGAACTCAACGTCAAAAATTAGAAAATATATTTAGCTCGCGTTGTTTGGAACGTATGAGCTTTTAAATGCAACCTAGAGCTTTGGTGAACTTATGACCACTTTTCTGCTATTGTGGTTAAATTTTATTAATTTTTATCATTACACGTAATCGTGAATAACATTTTTAGGACCACAGTCAAGAATAATGACACAATGCCTCCAAGTTATCGAGAATTAAGACATTTTGTTGAACAATGAATTTATTTTTTTAAGTCGGTCCTGAGTTGAGAAGTCACTCCTTTAAAAAATGTACTAAAGTGTGTTGATAAGTTTCATCAAAAGCTGGCATATTTTTAACTGTGGTCCTACAAATATTATTTCACTGTTGATAAAAGTAAATCGCAATAATTTCACCAAAATTTTAGCTAGGTGGCGCTTAAATGCTTAAAAATTTCAAACAACTTGCGCTTGAGACAGTTTTTTTAGAACAGTTACTGCCCTTACTATCACCTCGTTTCGCTCTGACGTTGAGTTCTGGAACACCCTATATATATATATATATATATATATATATATATAATATTTTTTTCTCCATCAGTTCAATCCCGGATCGAGTGGCCGTCATAGGAGTAATCGGAAAATCTTCTCAAAGAGCATTACCATGGGGCGACAAAGGAGCACCTTTGAGTGTGCCCCCGAACGGGTCACATTATCCGAAGACGCCGAACAGCCAAGTAAGTCATTGTTGAAAATCTTTTCTAGATTGAGAAAATGATATTTCTGATAATATTGGCGAGGAAAAGGATGACGATGAATTATAAAAATCGACATCATATTACTCTCGATTAAGTTTGAAATTGATGGGTTGATTGGTTTTCGCAATATTTAAGAAAAATATAAAAAATTGAGAAAAAAATCTGAACACTAGTGGTTCCATTATTTAACAATTTTATTCTTTTGCCAATAATCTTTCACATATATTTTTCCCCAGTACAATATAACCGGTTACTACGACCACGACAGACGAGCAGTGTTTCTCCAACTATGTGGTCCCATGGACACCTCTCTCCTCCTGGACTGGCTCCAGAAGCGTTCAGAAGACGACAGCAAACTATCATCACCGAAGAAGACTAAAAATAAAACCACAACCACCAGCAAAGATATTGCCAAACATCTAGAAAATAAGTTGACTAAAATCGTGTCCGACGAAAAGGCCAAAAGTTGCGATGACGATGACAACAAGGAGCAGCAGAAGTCTGAAGATGATGGAGAGAAAAAGACTGAGGATGATGATAAAGGTGATGGTGATGATGATGGTGATGGTGATGAATCGTGTGCTGGTGGTGTTTTCAAGTACAGGTGATGCTAGTGATGTTAATGATGATGAGGAGGTTGGCGATGAAGAGGATGATGATGAGGCTGAGACGTTCTTGGATAGTTTGGAGACTGTGGACTTTTTGACGTTGCACGCTGAAATGAGGGTAAATAGATAATTTAAACTAGCTGTAAGAGGAATTCTGTCTTAGGGTAATTGAGGCATCGTGCCTTAGAGCAAATTGCTTGAACTTCCCGTACCGCAATTCAAAATTCGAGTAATTAAAAATAATCAATAATAATAATCAATAAAAGTTGATCAATGATTTGAAACTTTTAATAAAATTTCGAACCATATTAAATCATTCTATCTTAAATCATTTATTTTGAAGTATTTTGAAAATTCTGAACTTTTTTACAAAGCAATCGTACTGGCTTGACTGCATAAAGATGAAATATCGAAGCGCGTAAGCCTGCCTTCATGAAAATTTGATCAGTTGTTCATCTTGTTAATACAAATAAAATTTCTTTGAATTATTCAAATCGGACGATCCGTTCTCTTAAAAACTGAGTTACCGTTTTTGGCACTTTTTGCCCCGTATCTTTGGAACGTTTAGACCTGCCTTTGCGAAAAACTAATCTGCACGTCTTTTTAACAATACGAATCGAATGTTTTTTGAATTATTCAAATCGCTTCATCCGTGTTCCCGAAATCGTCGACAAAAATTTGTATCCGCACACACACACACGCACACACACACACATACATCCATTTTTTCTAAGGTATGACAAAATGTTCAGAAACCTCTGAAACGTAAAGATATATAAAAAGTTTCATTTTCGATTTTTTTCGATTATTATAACTTGCCCTACGGGCAGTTAATAAATTATACTTTTATAATTAACTTCCCGAAGGAGAATTTTATGTTTTCATAAAAAAATCCGATTCGCTAATTTTATGTTTTCTCGACGTTTCAAATCTAAACTATTATTCGGATTTTGATAAATCTTTCTGAAGTTTGTTAAGAGAATTTTTTAGGATGTGTGTGATTATAAAAATATAGTAATATTGTATAAATGGAAAAAATTGCAAAACGATATGTCATGCTTTAACATTAAAAATTTTTGAGACATTGTTTGGCATTTAAACCAAATTTTAATTTACTGATGAGCTTAGAAAATATTAGAATATGTATAATAAATTCATGATTCTACCATAAAAAGAGTTGTACAAATATTGGAAAAAATTGGACTCTTATTGGTAAAAAAGTTAAAAGCATACCTCAGAAAAATAGGGACTTTTGCTGATGTTAAAGACAGGTCCCGCCATTTTGAAGATTAATTAAGCGTCCGATTTGAATGATCTAAAAAACTTTCTGCTTGTATTGACAAAACAATTGCTTTTGAGGATAAAAAATTATTACATCTTTTTTTATTTTCCATAAAATATTTTTGTAATTTTGGATTAAAAATTCAAAAAATTACCCAGGCTAAGCACGGTCTAAGCGCAAATGTTTACCCAAGTGCGTTTAGACTGTTTATGTAATGAAGCACTTTTCCAATCTTGTGAAAACTATTGAAAAATTTGAAAATGCTGCCAAGCTAAGCACAATATAAGTGAAAATGTCGCACAGAATTATTTGCAAATGCGTTTAAACTGTGACTATGCGGAGCACTTTTCAATTTCGTGTAAATTAGGCAACTTTCAAATTTTTTGGAAATTGAATTCGAAATGAAATGACAATTGTTAATGTTCTGGAGATAAATTGATTTATTTATGATTTACATTTGATTTGCTCACATAAAACAAGATAGCAAAAATAATGAAAGTTACAGTATTTGTAATAATATATTTGAAAACGTTTAGAATTTCTCTAATATTTCATTACGGTACGGGAAGTTCCAGCAATTTGCCTTAAGGCACGATGCCATACACCACTAGTTTTTAAATAATTCACACTCTTAAATAATATTTTTACAGGTGCACTATGCGAGAGCCCTTTTGCTTCTTTTTCAAATATGCCACGTCCTGGTATTAAATTTACCTGGAAGCAGTTTTGATGTTAGCTATATGGGGCTATTTGCTGCCATCGACAATGCCAGGTAACTAACCACACACACACAAAAACACACATTCACACTTACACATATATCTTTTCTATTTTAGGCAAAAATTCCTATCAAAGACCTCCACCAAGTTGAGAGAAGCAGGAGTGACTTCGAGATGGTACCAGGCAGGACGATTGTGTTCCCCAAGATGTTTATTCCTATTTGAAAAATCGCCATTGGGACGACGTCCTTCCAGTGAGAATTCTACAGGAAACTCAAATAATCCCGATTTTAGAATTAGAGATGGAATTCGGGAAGGTGAAGCCGTTTTGAATTGTGGCCAGAAGGCAAGGAGCGATGTTAAGAAGCTGGAACATGCCTTGGAAGACCAGGTGAGAATAATATGATTAATCAAGTCACTTTTGTTGTTTATGAGATCAAGATTAGGGAATGCAATACCGATGGAAAATTTCAATACCGGTATTTCGGTAATTTTTCATTTTAAAACCGGAATACCGCCGTAAATAATCGGTATTTTTATTATCTTAAACAAACGTAATCAAAATTGCAAGTTACTAGTACAAATATAAAAAAATGTATATAGAACCACAACTATATTCAATTAAACAATAAAATAAAGCAATAAGTTTATTTTTTTAAATAATAATTTAACAATACTATATGCAATTTAATTAATTCATTATCATTGAGTACTTTTCAACAAAAACAAACTTATGAGTAAGAAAGACCAAAAACTCATATAAGATCATATTACATTATTATAAGAAACTGTATTGTATGTATCCTATATGTTAAATTAGCATAATCTCCAATATTTTAAAAAAATAATTTTTCTACACAAATTTAAGATCGGATACTTTGTCGAGATAAATAATAAGTTACTTTAATTGTTGAGTATTGTTATTTAAAGCAATGTAATGCTTCTATAGTATTTTCAAACTTCGAAACGTTTTCGAAAAATAATATTTTATAATTGTAATAAGAAGCAAAAATATTTAGTAGTTATCATAATTATTATGTATAAAGTTAGAAAAAAATAAAGATTACGCAGGGGTAATCTGTATGATATAAAATATTTGGGCGCAAATATCACTTAAAAAACCGTTACATTTTTACAAAAGATAAAACAAACATCATTATCTATCAGTCCAATTCTATTTATTGTAACACGATATGAAGTCCTTTGGAAAGCAATAAATATTCAGTTTAATGACGGGTTGAGATAATATTTGACATTTGTTTATCTTATAGAATCACTTGACGATATAGCTGTTTATGCAATTATGGAATTTAAAGATAAATTTGTTCCGAGAAATTTAAACTTTAGGGTATTATGTATCAAATAGCGCTTATGTAAAAATACCGAAAATACCGGTAATTTTGGGGTAAATACCGGTAAAAATACCGCCGAATAATCGGGCGGTTTACCGGTAATTCGGTATACCGGTATACCGGTATTGCATTCCCTAATCAAGATTATATGAGATCAATTTTGTTTCTAAATTTTAGATATACAGAGTGTTAAGGAAAGCTCGTGTGGTCACGAATCGGAGTGCTGATTCATTATTTTCTGTGCCGAAGAATGATGAATTTGTTTACGTCCTAACTCATGAGGACGGACATGGTGAAGACAGGTAAAAAGCAAAAATTATTATTAATTTAACTTTTGCACACAAGCTTTCTAACATCAATAAGGTCTACAGTCTTCTCCATCCTTTAAAATGAAGCAGGAGGAATTCTTTTCCCAATAAGAATCCAATAGAGTTTTTTACATTATTTGTACAACTCATAGCATTTCATTTTCTCTTTTCATGGTAGATTCATGAATTTTTATACATGTTCTTATTAGGGTCTATACAAAAACCGACATTTTAGAAAACCGGTTTTCAAATTTTAATTTTACTAAAAAACCGGTTTCAGCCGGTTTTCGAATTTTATATAAAAAATAAATTTTTGCTCGAATATTCTGTAATTTATCCGTAAATTTAGTGGAATTTAGAGCAGTATTTGACTGAATATATTTATTGTTCAATTTTATAGATAGTAAACAAAATTATTTTAATTTTAATTAGTAGAACTAAAAAATAATAGTTTATCTTGATTAAATAACTTAAAATAATTATTCGTTATTCATGCATCATTTTCACATATAAGAATGAAAATATTTTTATGATAGTGAAAGGAAAGTTTTCGAATAAATAAAAATAATACATTTTGCATTAAATAAAAAAATTCATCGAATTAAAAAAAAAATAGATACATGTTGATACATACTTGTTAATAACAACTTTAGTTTTAAAAATAATTAAGTTAAACTCGGGTATTGTCTGTTCCGAACAATTTTAATTAATTAATTTTAAACATTCTAATTGTTTAATAAAAATTGATTTAAAAAAACTGAGAACGTCTAACGAATTGCTACTTAAACATGACCTTTATTGTTTCTAACAAAATTTTCTGAAATAGAAAATACTCTCATACTTACCAAATTATGCTTAATTGTTTTTAAAGTCTGATATAACAATTCTAAGTTTTTTGTTCTTTAATTTGTGGCTTCTCGGGTTTGAAACTCTTTTTTAGTTTGAGTAGAGGAAGTTACTTCTTCTAGAAGAAATCACACTGATTTAAATTAATATATACACTGGTATAAAAATCTAAATTAATTTATACAAAACCTTTCTGGGAATCATTGCAGACTGATAAGATATTAAATGCTATTGAACCGATATGATTTCAAGAATCAAAACGCTTTCATCTATCTTTTATATTTGGCTATATTCGTCATTTTCCATTTATACAGTGAGAACCGACTTTTTCACTAAAAAACCGGTTTTCTAATTCCATAATTTTCGCCAAAATACCGGTTTTTGAAAACCGACAAACCCTAGTTCTTATATTGTCTAGGCTCATAAGTAAATTGAAATTTCTGGTAGGTGACAGTTTTTTTTTGTGAAAATATTTTCAATGTTAAACAATGATAAACGTTTTTTTTGTAATTTTTTCCATTTATTTCTACAATATTACTATATTTCTATAATCACATACATCTTAAAAAATTCCCTTAACAAACTTTAGAAAGATTTATCAAAACCGGAATAATCGTTTAGGAGGAGTATATTTACATAAGAAGAATTTTATTTATAAGATAAATTAATATTTTCAGACTTGCCAAAGCAATCCGTGACCTGGTGACATCGTGCCAAAAATTCAATGCCAATTTAAAAGACGACGATCCATTTGGAAATTTTGGAAAAAATCCATACATACAAGGAGGCGAGTAACAAATCGTAACTCTTTTACTAATACCAGCAAATAAATTACAGCAACAATTTATTATTGTTTTCAGAAGAAGTATGTTTAACTATCAATCCAAATCGTGATGAGTTCCATGTCAGAAACTTTGCAGAGTTTTTGCAAAAACATATTGATACTGCTCTTGGACCAGGTTTCGAAGACAATGTTGGCAAATATGCTGCCAGCACTCCTATTATTTTTGAAGTAAGAAAAACCAATCATCAATACTAACTGAAAACTGATAATTTATTAGGCTTTTCAATAATAATTGAACTAGTGGGTATGGCATCGTGCCTTAAGGGGTTATTCTAGTGTAGAGCGATGAATTTTAGGTCATTTTTAAAGTGTCGTAAAAGAAAGCAATGAATGTTTTTACTATCAATTTTTTTACTACTCGTTTATCAATATTATTAAAATACAATACAAAAATAAAAAAATAAAAAAAGTTGAAAATTGTAAAAACTGGCAGCTGATGAAGTGGGTGGTCTCAAAAAATTGCCACCTCAGTCTTGACATGATTTCAGCCCTCCTAACCATCCGAAATAAAAGAAATCAAAATATTATTAATCTACAATGATGTCGCAATCGCCCGAACTAGCGATGAGTAAAGAGATTTTTTTTTACAAATCGGCGACTGTTTGAAAAAATGTGTTTTTTTTACTGTTTTTTGAGTATCTCGAATTTTTTAAAAATAGTAAAGATTGGAATTTGGGGATAATCCTAGTTCGGACTATAGATAGGTCTATAAACAAGACTCTCTGAACATTTCAAGTGAATCGGTCGATTAAAACTCGAGAAATCGTGTCAACAGTACTGAAAAAGTCTGTTCTGAGAAAAACGCATTTAAAGTTTTACGTGAAGCCAAACCAGTATGGAGACCGAGTCAGTAAAATGCCTATATCTCCGAAAATAATTCAAATTTTCAAAAACCTTCTTGTACCATATTCTTAGATAGTTAAACTTTGAAAATATGAAATAAAAAACAAGCCAATTGCTGGAAACTTTCCCTACCAAAAATTTAATTTAACCGATTTGTATCATTGAAAAATCATTCGGTTTGAACACGATCGAGAGGCGTTTTTGCAAAAGGCAATTTTCCCGTTTCGGAGGTATGGAACGCAAAGGGTGTAAAACGTTTATGCATTTTTTGAGAGAACGGATCATCCGATTAGATTAATTCAAAAAACATTTTGCTTGAGTAGACGGTGTGCAAAAAATGCATTTACAAAAAATTTAGTAATTTTGAAATTTTTCAAAAAAATTCAAATTTTCGAAATTTTTCATCATTTAAAAAAAACTAACGTTGAAAAATTAAAAAAAAAATCGATTTCTTTAAAAAATTGAGAATATTTCGAATTTTTGAAAAAAATCGACTATTTTCAAAAGTTTACATATTCTCATAAAATTAAAAATATACGTTTTTTTTTAAAAAAAATTCAAACTTCTAAAAAAATTTCAAAATTTCGAAAAAATTCTAAATTATCAAAAGAAATCAAATTTAGAAAATTTTAGTTTATCTTTTCAATACAAATAAAATGTTTTTTTATTACATACACACACACACATCCATTTTTTCTAAGGTATGCCAAAACGTTCAGAAACCTCTGAAACGTTAAGATATATAAGAAACTTTCATTTTCGTTTTTTTTACGATTACTATAACTTACCCTACGTGAAGTTAAAAATTGAATAAAAATCAAATATTCCTTTCATATATCTCATTAATTAATTTTTTCATTTAGGTTCCTAAATTGAAAACATGGTGCACTGCAGTTTCTAAGCTGTTCACTTTATATTACGGAGGTTCCAGGATGTCAAGTCCTGATGGAACCGAGAAAAGACTTCCCGAAAGCAAAAATGTTGCTGAACTACTTGATGTGAGCAATAGAAATTATTCAAAAATTATATATAAAAGAATATATGCAATAGAAATATTTGTTGTGGATTTTTTAGATTCTTCGAGATTACCTGAACCCAGATATCAAATTTTCTGAAGCTCGTTGTGCTAAAGTTCTGCCTGTTGCAAAAGCTCTATACTTGGAGGTAATATTATAAATTACATCTACTATATATATATATATATATATATATATTTATATATATATATATATATATATATATATACGTCTATTATTCTTTTCCAGGGTCTTCCATCCCATTACGGAAGAGCACAGCACACAACTCGCTTAAATGCAGCCCTTCAAACCTTACATGCACATGCAAGGGGGCCCTGTACATCTAAATATGTAAAGACTTTAGTTAAATATGCTTTGGCACATTGGAGAGACGGCAGAAGACAATGTGAGGCTCCCAGCTTAACCGGACAACTTTGTCAACGACCTAGACTTGCAGGTAAATGGAATTAAAACAGTGCAAATTGCTGGAACTTCACGCCCCGTAATTAAAAATTCGAGTAATGACATTAGTGAGAATTATCAGAATTATGCTTGGTTAAATCAACGAGCAATTCTTGCCGCAAAGAATAATGATGTACACGCACTGAATTTCATCATTCAATCAAAAATTGCTGGCGATTTGGTGACATACCAATGATTCCGACTGGTCTTCCGTTTGACTTCAATCGATTGCAATTTCCAGTTCGCCTCGCGTTCGCAATAACAAGTCGCAAAGCCAATCGCTTAGTGTTTGCGGCATAAATTTCAAATAGATTTATTTAGAAAATCATTGTTTTTCACATGGGCAGTTATACGTTGCCTGTTCACGAGTTGGAAAACCATCCGCTTTGTTTGTGTTAACGTTAGACCAAAAAACAAAAAATGTGGTTTACCAAAGAGCACTTCAATGAAACGGATAATTTGCGGATTCACTTTCATTTACTTAGAGAAGTTCAACTAAAAAACACTTTATTTTTGTAATCGAAATAAATTCATTACTGTTGTATAATAAAATCAAATTTTTCCTTTTCAAATATAAAACGAACAAAAAATTTCTTCATCTTTCTCACGAAACCATCTGGTGGCGAAACGGAGTTCGTCGGGTTCGCTAGTTTATTATAAAAACATGCATGTAAACTTATAATTGGGCGACGAACGTGTTCTACAAACAACTTTGTGTTTATGTTTCCAAGATTTTTTTCATTTTTTTTTTTAAATTTGATTCTATTTTTGATAATTTTGAATTTTTTTCGAAATTTTCAAATATTCGAAAAATCGATTTTTTAAAAATTTTTTGAGTGTTTGGAAATTTTTGAAAATCTTCGTTTTTTTGAAAATTTCGAAATATTCTCAAATTTTGCAAGTAATCGATTTTTTTAAATTTCTGTATTTTTTAATTTTTTAAATGTAGTATTTTTTCGAAAATGATGAAAAATTTCAAAAATTTGATTTTTTTGAAACTTTTTTATTTTATTCTATTTTTCTGAATTTCTTAAAAATTCGAAATTTATTGAAATGTTTGAAAAAAATCGATATTTTTAAATTTTTTGAGAATTTGGAAATTTTTGAAAATATTCGTTTTTTTTTGAAAATTTGAAAATATTCCCGAATTTTTTTGGAATTTTTGAAAAAAATCGATATTTTCAAATTCGTTGAGAATTTGTAAAGACGGCGATTCGATTTTTTTTGAAAAAATTCGAAATATTCTAAAAATTTTATAAAAAATCGATTTTTTTTAAATTCTGGTATTTTAGAAATTTTTCAAACTTTAGATTTTTTTTTTAAATGATTAAAAATTTTGGAAAATTTTAATTTTGTAAAACTTCAATTTTTTTGAAGATTTTGATTTTTTTTGATGATTTTGATTTTTTTTGAAAATTCTGTTTTTTTTTTGAAAATTATGATTTTTTCATCTTGTTCATACAAAAGTTTTGATCTCGTTAATACAACAAAAGTGAATGCATTTTTGGAACACCGTCTACTCAAGCAAAATGTTTTTTGAATTATTCAAATCAGATTCTCTGTTCTGTCAAAACCTGAATTACCAATTTTGGCACTTTTTGCCCCGTAACTTCGAAAAGGTTAGATGTCCTTTTCCCAAAAACTAATCAGCACGTCTCCTTATCAATATGAATCTAATGTTTTTTAATTATTCAAATCGGTTGATCATTGTTCCCGAAATCGTCGATGAAAATTTGTGTCCGCACACACGTACACACACATACATCAATTTTTTCTAAGGTATGCCAAAGTGTTCAGAAACCTTTGAAACGTAAAGAGATATAAAAATTTTCAGTTACGATTTATTTGCGATTACTATAAATTACCGTCCGGGAAGTTAAAAATAAGTTAATTTCACTTCAATTATTTGTTGGTTCAATTATTAACTTATGCTTTTAGTTACTGCTACTTACACCTAGTTTTATTTATTTTTCCTAGCAAAATCGTTATGCGAGCACAACAGCGGCTACGTGACCTTAGGGGTGTGCGACTGCGGCAGGACTCCTGGTCGAAGAGAGGATCCTTACTCTTTGAGAGCCGCCAATTTCGATCACTATGCATCACTAGCCACGGATTGTCCTTGCTGCGGAAGCGACAAAGTCAAACGGATCACCTTTCCTGTGTTTCAACCATCAACTGATGATTATAGGTAAACAGTAATAAAAAAATATATATATAATAGTAATCTTATACATATATATATATATATATAAATTGAGCTCTCAACAAAATGATCCGCTAAAACTCGAAAACGGCTGAACCGATTTGGCCAGTCTCAGTCTTGAAACATTCGTGCCAATCCAGAGAAGGTCGGAAAGGTGAGATAATATTTCAAAATCGCGTAGAAACTTTACATTTTTAATTTGAATATTTTTGTAGAAGCTTAATTTGAATAAAACAATGGACGGTGGCTAATACGTCAAATGTCAAACGCTTTTGACAGATAATGTCAATTACTTTTTAAAGGATGTTTTACGTGAATATTGTTTAATTATGATTAAATTGTAGTAAGTAGTTCGTAGTTATATTTATACGCAAAAACGTTATTAAACGGATCGCAAGTGTTACTATAGAAACTCAAAATATTAACTTTTTTGAAATGTTAATATGAAAATGCACTTTTTGGCATATTTTTCTCAAACACGGTGCTCTGAAAGATCTCATCTGTATAATTATATACCCATTGGTATTTATAAAACATTTTCTAGGTTATATTATTTTTTATTTATGTTATTTAAATTTACAACCTAAATTTGGTATCGATCAAAGGGACATTTTGTCGAATAATATTTTCCCAATTATAATTTCCCAGAGTTTATATAGAATAGATAGTAATATATGAAGGTCCGGGGTTTTAAAGGTCCACCACCAATGTGTCAAAAACCAGTAAAGTTAAGCATTGTTCAACAGCAATATTTGAAAGTAGAGGGAAAAAGATGTATAACCAGCTGTAACATTGATCCTTATGACTTTGCTATCGGGAAATAAACGGTAATATTTGAAAATCCATAATAAAAGTATTTTCTTCCGTGTGTAGTTTTTTAGCATTAGTTAAAAATGTAATTATTTTGGAAAATACCTTTAAAATTAAAATAAGACATTAAACCTGTTTTCCATCTGGCCGTTCCAAGTTACCCCGTCTATGGGGTAAAAAGGTCTAGATAACAATTTTTTGTAAGACAGCAAACAAGCACATTTATACAATGATGAAGTAGCTGGCAGTTTTACTGAACGTAGTCAGATAATTGTTCGTTTGAAATGTGTTATTTGTTGTGATATAATTGGTATGATTATTATAATATAATTAATGTTTGCTCAAAGTCAAATTGGACCTTTGTGTCTCGCCCTGCTCTACATATATACTTTTTATTAAATTTACTTCAATTCATCGAATGTAACTCGAAACTTTTCAAAAAGCAGGACAAAGAAGAAATACTTAATTAATTTTTTATCTCTCCTCTGAAATTTGAAAATTTTGTATAAGCTCAGTAATATTATTTAAAATTATACACAAAATCCAGAATCCATAAAGAATGTGAAAAACTTGAAACGTAATCAATAAGTCAAAAGATCAAAAAGGACTTGGATTGGATTATGCCATGTTTTCTATAGAAAGTGTATAAAACTTCCAGACAAAATATAGACAAACCAATGGGGTTTATTGTTTACATAATACCTCAATGTATATAGCATTCAAACAACACATCCTTATACACTTAAAGTATTAATATTTTTGATTCTCTAGAAATTGTTTAGAATAATCAACACATTTTTAAAGAGCAAGTGTTTTACTCTATTGGTAAGTATTAGAGTTATAACTTTCAGTAAATTATTCTGTGAAAATTAGAATAAGATTTTAAGTGAACATTTGTTTTTTTAAATTATATTTCATTTTTATATTATATGTATTATTATCTATTAATTTAAGTTATGTACCATATAATATCTATAATTGTACAATTGTGTTGTATAAATATAAACAGTGGTGTTGTCGGGCCGGAACGCGCTGGAACATTGTTCCGGCAAATAATTTTTGGGCCGGAACGCGTTCCAGCAAAAGGAATTAAAAAAAAATCACTACATACAGAAAGTGATTTAATAAATGAATTTTATAAATTATAATTTGGCTAATTTTTATTAAACGTTTCTATTATTGTAATAAACATACATATATGTGCACAAAATGGGTTTTGTAATGATTTTCGTTTCTTTCCTTTTCGAACGGAACCGAAACAAACATGTGAACCGTTTTTTTGAACCGGTTTTTTAATTTTAGCGTTCCGGCAAAAAAAATATTGCACAACACCACTGAATATAAATATAAATATAAATATAAATATAAATATAAATATAATTATAATTACAAATTATATTAAAGTGCTCATAAACAGTGTTGACAATAAAAAAACTAACAACGTAAAAAAAATATATATACCTTACTTAGCAAAACGACGTTTGCCGGGTCAGCATTCATAAACTTTTTTTTGTTTTTTTCAGGGCCGCTCAGTTATTCACAACACATTCGACAAAACCAAAAGGAAGCAAGGCTCAGCACAATCCTTCCAAACAGTCGAGTTCGGGTAACAGCATGTCCTCGTCCATGAAGAAGTTGAGGAACGAGGTTCGAGGCGGTGGCGGTACTTCTTCACATCCTTCGGAAATAGGAGGCGTCGTCCGAGGCGATGAACGTTCTACGCCTTCTGCAAGGCTGTTGGAGGATTTCGACAATGGTGAGGAGGATGACGATGTCGAAGACGACGAGGAGGAGGATGTCGGGGATGATGATAGCAAGTCTGTTTCTTCAGGTAAGGGGATAAAAGAAATATGTTATTATTGAAGTAAAACTTCTTTAGGCGCGACATGGGTGTAAAAACTTCTTTAGGCGCGACATGGGTGTAAATCCGTACAAATGCAACGAAAACGCCAACGTGAAGTTGAACTCTACGACGCTAGTTAGCGCAGATATCGCAATTATTCGATCTAGTCTGCGAGCAAAACAAAAAATACATCAAATGTCAAATTATATGTCGAAAACAAAACAAAATGTGTCGACTTTCACTCGAGTTTTGTATTTAGCTCGTAGTCTCTAAACATTTTTTGAAGTAAAACTTTTTTAGGCGCGACATGGGTTAGCAGTATAATTCGTGAGTTAATAAAAATGTCAAGATCGGAAGAATATTTTATCCCGTCTCCCAAAAATAATTGTAGTTCAAATGATCGCAAATAAATAATGAAACTAAGGAAAAATCTGCGCTGCGTAAGAAATGATAGCTTTGGCTATGTATGTTTTGTGTGTGATCGACTTTGGCTTCAAAGTGACTTAGAAATATCAAATGATGCTCAAAAACAAATTCTTAATAATGTTTTTTGAATATTGATTTAAATAATCAGGTTGGATGTCAAACTTGTCGAAAGATATTAAATTCGGGTAAAATTCCCACTTTGTGTAAGTTTAACGGGTTTGTATTTCTACCTATACCAAATTATCTACCTAAACTAGATACTGTATCTGAAAGGTTAATTTCACCTAGGTTGTGTTTCATGCAAATTAGACGATTGCGACATGCAAATGGACAATTTGGAATGTTTGGCCAAATTATAAATGTGCCTGTTGACATTAATAATATGGTTAATTTATTACCTCGTAATATTGATGATGATCATTGCATTAACGTTCACACAAAAAAGCAAATGATTCATAGATCAAGCTATGTGCAGGGCTCGATAAATAAAACAAATATAAAAGTATGGCTTCAATTTTTTAGGCAAGACGGATATTACAGCTATTCTAAGAATGAGATTATATCGTCAGCGAAAAAGTAAAAAAATACAAACAGTAAATGAATGTATGTTAATTTTAATTACATGAAGTTCTTCAAACACAATTGTTACAGGGTGAGTGAAATTACGAAAACAATATTTGTTTAGGCGTTGTTTAACATAATCCACTGTGTGAATGAATATTATAGAATTTATTAATCAGCAATTACTTTAAAACGATCATGTCATATTTCAAGTACGACTTTGATTACATTATTGTTTGTAAATATTATACATATTTTTAATGCAATCATAAATATATAATTTATCATTATATAAATGTGTATAATGATTGACGACACTGATAAATGTGTGCATCACAAGTGTTACCATATACCATATTACTAATAAACATTATTCAAAATTTTTATATGATGTATTTATTTTTACTCAACTTAAATTTGCTACTTTATACAGTAGCAAATAAGTTTTACTTCAACCGCGTGTGATCCTTACGCGCACTCTTTTTTTATATACGTACTCAGTTGCAATTTCATTCATATAGATGATGGTTCTGCTGATAAGAAAACCGATGTCCATTCAGGAGGCGTCAACGAGATCATAATACAAGTTTCAGAAAATGGTGATGGAGATCAAACTAAAGAAAAAGGTATTTATGGAAATTGATACAAATTATTAGTTCGATAGACAATACATTTTTTACTTAGGTCTTGTAAGGCAACCGAGCACCACTGAGTATTTACCTGGCATGCTGCACATGCAAAGCCCACCAGGATTGTTACCACAATTTCCGAGCTGGTCTTTGGTAATTAATTATTTATTTATTAACTTCTCGAAGGAGAAGTTTATGTTTTCATCAAAAAATCGGATTCGCTAATTTTATGTTTTCTCGTTTTTTTAGCCATTCTGAATCGAATGAGACCAAATTTAAGGAAAAAAGTATGTGTGTGTGTGTGTTCGTGTATGTGAACAGATTTTTTGCCGTAAATCGACGTTTTCTCGAAAACGACTGGGCCGATTTCAAAAATTTGAAAGCCATTCGATGTATCTCGATGAGGACTAGCGTTTGTCAGTTTTGTCGGACGATCGGCCGAGACGTTTCTTTATAAATAGCAGAAAAGTGAAAAAATTTTCGTCCACGTTTTAGCCCGCAATTCTGAACCGATTATGAAAATTCAAAAACCGTTCGAAAGATATTGGTTGGGAATCGTGCTGATTAGTTTTTGGTAAAGATCGGCCGGGCCGTTTTCTTGTTATAAAATGTTAAAAAAAATTTTTTCGACGATTTTTATTATTATTTTTTTGACGGTAGATACCATAGTCTTATAGATCATACTAAAATATTACGGCCCTACGACAACTGGTTCAGCTTTAAAAATTCGTCAAAGTTTGCAAAAATTGGTATCGTTTTTTGGCATTTGTCAAAATTAGACCTTTGATCGACGTTTTCTCAAAAACGCCTGAACCGATTTCAGAAATTTAAAAGCCATTTGATGTATTTTAATGAGAACTATCGCTTGTCAGTTTTGTGCGACGATCTGCCAAGCCGTTTCTTTGTAATTTGTAAAAAAGTGTTAAACTTTTCGTCCCCAAAGATAGATTTTCGTGTTAAGCTCATCCTACCGAACCGATTTTAAAAAATCAAAAACTGTTCGAAAGATATTAGTTGGGAATGATACTGATTAGTTTTAGGTGAAAATCTACCGAGCCGTTTTCTTGTAATTAACTGTTGAAAAAAAAATATTTAAGCCGATTTTTATGGAATTTTTTTTTGGCGATATAGATCATGGTCTTATACAACTTACTGTAATACTACGGCCTTACGACAAGTAGTTTAATTTTAAAAATTCATCAAAGTTTGAAAAAATGAGTAGTTTTTTTTTTGACGTTTGTTAAAATTAAAATTAGATAATTTTACTTGGTATAACGATAGAGTACGTGGTCTTAATGAACATACTAAACCATTAAATTATGAAAAGTATTGATTTGTGAAAATTTGCTTTTAGAAAATACTCCGAGTTAACGTGTTCGTTCGCTTTCAATTATGTATAATAAATCCACTCGAAATACTTTTAATCACTCATAAATTAATTTATTTCTTATTGATTAAGTCGATTATTTACACATATCGGGAAGTTCATGTAACTTGCCTCAAGGCTAAATACCAATAGCAACTAGTTTACTATAAACTTTATTTATATTTAGTTAATTTTAATTATTTTTAAATATAACTAGTTTGTTTGTTGCAAGTATTTTTTCTAAAAATTTCGTAAGTATTTTAATAATCTTTACAATTATTCATCACTCATCACATATCAATTCTATCGTTTATCATTTTTTAGGTTTGTCTCGGAGCAAGTTCTCTGTACAGTCACAATTTAGGTTTATCAGAAGCCCAGCATCCTGGTTTCATCCAAGGCACCAATTTTTTGTTGCCTTGGGATGTGACAGTGAGATTGGAAACTGCTGCGGCCAATTCGGCAATGGCCAATTGGCCCTATTCGAATGATAGGCGGAAAGGAGCTGGGCGACACGGAGGGAAACATCACGGGAGCAAATATTATGGTAAGTAAATAGTAATAGAGAATGAATTTTTTTGTTTGGCATACCTTAAAGAATGGATGTGTGTGTGTCTGCGGATACAATATTTTGTCGACGATTTCGGAAGCACGGATCAAATGATTTGAATGATTAATAAAGCATTCGATTTGTATTGACGAGGAGACGTGCGGATTAGTTTTTTGCAAAGGCCGTTTCAAGTGCCAAAAATGGTAATTCAGTTTTTGAGAGAACGGAGCATCCGATTGGAATGATTCAAAAAACATTTTATTTGTATTGACGACATGAAGTACAGATTAACTTTTGGGGAAGCCATCTCCAGATTTTCAAAATAAAAAAAAATATTAAAAAAAACAATCAATTTTTTTTAATAATTTTAAAAATTTTCAGAAATCAAACGTTTTCAATGTTTTAAAAAAATGTTAAAGCTTGTTGACTGAATAGTGATATATAGAGATGAATAATGTAGAGAGTGTATTAAAGTCAATAAATGAGTTTACAATCATTTTTAAAAATATTAATTAATGTAAAGTAGACAGGCAAACATACACAAAGGGGCGTCCATTAATCACGTGATGCTTTTAAGGTTGAGGGGGGGGTTGAAAAAAAAATCATAAAAAATCACGTGGAGGAGGGTGGGGTCTAGTAAGATATCACGTGTATTTACTTTTCACCTAAATTAAAACATAAAATTTACGATTTTTTTGTAAATTCGAATTTTTTTTCGAAAAATGTTACGTAACCAAAAATACACGTGATTTTTGGTGGCGGGGGGTAATTTTAAATATCACGAAAGGGGAGGAGTTGTCTTAAAATTCCTAAAAAAAATCTTCCACGTGATTAATGGACGTCCCCAAAGATAGATAGAATGATAGACAGGTTGTCAGATAGAAAGATAGATAAAATGATAAACAAGTAGATAGATAGAATGATGGATAGGTGGACATGTGGACTTTACATTATGGATGTTTTTGAATTTTCTTCCCCCCAGTGGCCCAAATGCTTCCAAATTGATGAAAAATAATTCTCTGGAAGTTTTAGCTTTTAATATTAGCATTTAGATAGTCCGCACACCAACCAAAGTTTCTTGATTTTTCTTCTTAAGTAAATATTGATTTTATGGAAAATATAAAATTCTTGTTGTAAATTTTTTATTTATGTTCAAAACAAGTATGATGTTTTCCGGTAAAATATTCTTAATCAAAAGATCTTTAACCCAGTAAAATAATTTTTATGATACTTATTGCCGTGCGCGAAATAATCGCCAAAAACTGTTTCAAATTTTTATGTTTTAAATGGTTACATGCCTATAACTTCGATACTTTGCAAGATAGGGATATGATGTCTATGGATGAAATATGCGTAAAAAAACATTTGCTACTTTTTCCATAATTTTGTAAAACAACGTTTTTCTCAAAATTATGATTCACTATCACTTGTCGCTAAGTTATAAAACAAATCAAATTTTACCCATGTTATTTCCATGGAAACTTTGGTTGGAGTGCGGACTATCTTAAAGTTAATATTAATAGCTAAAATTTTCAGAGAATTTTTTCTTATCAATTTGGAAGTATTTGAGCACCTGGGAGCAAAGAGATTCGAAAATATCCATATTAAGTACCACCCTAGTAGACATATAAGCAGATTTACCATATACAAATCAAAATATTATTAAGTAAATTGATGCCACTTACAACTACATACTTAAATTTTATATTAGGTTCTCAATCCGGCAGCAACGTCCATAAAGGCAACGAGTTCATCGTGAAGATTTTTGTCGGAATGGAATACGAATGTCCAAGGGGTCACAGATTTATGATGTCGACTTCAGAAAAAATCTTGAGGGCAACCACAGGTAACCCAGAAGACTTAAATATAACGAAATACATTTATATTAGGGAATGCAATACCGATAGAAAATTTCAATACCGGTATTTCGGTAATTTTTCATTTTAAAACCGGAATACCGGTAAATTTCCGGTATTTTTATTATCTTAAACTAACGTGAACAAAATTGAAAGTTACTAGTACAAATATAAAAAAATGTATATTCAAATACAACTATATTCAACTAAACGATAAAAACTATAAAATAAAACATTAAGTTTATTTTTTTAAATAATAATTTAACAAAATTATATCCAAATTAATAATTCATTATCACTATCGAGTATATTGAACACTTTTCACCAAAAAAAACTTATGAGTAAGAAAGACCAAAAACTCATAAAAGATCATAAAACATTATTATAATAAACTGTATTGTCTGTATCCGATGTGTTAAATTAGCATAATCTCCAATATTTTAAAAAAATAATTTTTCTACACTAATTTAAGATCGGATACTTTGTCGAGATAAATAATAAGTTACTATAATTGTTGAGTATTGTTATTTAAAACAATGTGATGGTTCTATAGTATTTTCAAACTTCGAAACGTTATCGAAAAATAATATTTTATAATTGTAATAAGAAGCAAAAATATTTAGTAATTATCATAATTATTATGTATAAAGTTAGAAAAAAATTAAGATTACGCAGGGGTAATCTGTATGATATAAAATAATTTGGTGCAAATATCACTTAAAAAAACGTTACATTTTTACATAAGATGAAACAAACATCATTATCTATCAGTCCAATTCTATTTATTGTAACACGATATGAAGCCCTTTGGAAAGCAATAAATATTCAATTTAATGACGAGTTGAGATAAAATTTGACATTTGTTTATCCTATAGAATCACTTGAAGATATAGCTGTTTATGCGATTGTGGAATTTAAAGATAAATTTGTTCCGAGAAATTTAAACTTTAGTGTATTATGCATCAAATAGCGCTTATGTAAAAATACCGAAAATACCGGTATTTTTGCGGTAAATACCGGTAAAAATACCGCCGAAAAATCGGGCGGTTTACCGGTAAACTGGTATTGCATTCCCTAATTTATATCATATTTCTTTTACCTTTAGGTTTGGTTAAGGAGTCCGGCAGTCGCGTTGCAGGCTCCGACATGCCCCTTTTTCACGAATGCCCATGTTCATCGGCCTCGAGTACATCATCGACAGGTGCCGGATCATCTGCAGTCGGTTCTGGTAAACTGGCTGGTGTGGCTGGTCAACAAGCATCTGCGGTAGTTCAGCCCAAACAAATGTTCGTTGCTCAACTTATGCGAGTGCATGTTGTCACTCCGAAAGCACCTGTGCATGTCACTTTGGACCCCAAAGTCCAAACGGGTAAGTGATAATGGATAGATAGAAGAAGTATAAATAGATCGCGGATTATCGAATAAGGAAAAAAAAGAAAATCCTTTTCCTTCATCTTATATATAAAAATGGAGCTCTCTTTCAAATGTCCAAGTAAAACTCGAAAACGGCTGAATCGATTTGGCCAGTCTTAGTCTTAAAAAATTTGTGCCAATCCAGAGAAAGTCCAAAAGGTGAGAAATTATTTCAAATCCGCGTAGAAACTTTACATTTTCAATTTGAAATTTTTTGTAGAAGCGCAATTTAAATAAAACAATGGACGGTGGCTAATACGTCAAATGTCAAACGTTTTTGACTGATGATGTTCAATTACGTTTGATAGGATGTTTTCCGTGAATATTATTTAATTCTGATTAAATTGTAGTAAGTAGTTTTGTTTGTAGTTATATTTATACACAAAAACGTTAGTAAACGTTTTGACATAAACAAATCGACGGCTTAAAATATATTTTAAAAATATAAAACGTTGTAATACAGTTATGAAATTTTAACATGTTATTTCCTAATATGTGTACTAAATTATAAAAAAATAAAATCAAATATGTTTCTAACAGAAGAAACTAAAAAATTGCAATACACACTTGCATACTCTATTTTTATTAGTGGCGAATCGACGGTTAGATATGATATGAGAAGTACTTAATATACAATATTATACTAGAGCTATAAAATTTTAGTATGCTATTACCTAATATATGTACTCAATTATAAAAATATAAAATCACATATGTTTCTAACAAAAAAAGCTATAAATGTGCAATTTTGTAAACAAATGCACTCTTGTATATCTAGTGTTCAATAGTTGCAAGTCCACGGTTTGATGAGTATTTTGAAAAATATTTAGAAATATAAAACGTTATACTAGAGTTACAAAATTTTAGTATGTTCTTTCTTAATACGTGTACTAAATTATAAAAATATAAAATCACACATATTTCTAACAGCTATAAATTTGCAATTCTGTAAAATCATGTAATAGGGTCGCAAGTGTTACTACAAACTCAACAATTTTGAAATGTTAATATGAAAATGCACTTTTTGGAATATTTTTTTCAAACACGGTGCTCTGAAAGATATCATTTGTATAATTATATACTCATTGGTATGCATAAAACATTTTCTAAGTTATATTATTTTTCATTTATGTTATTTAAATTCAGAACCTAAATTTGGTATCGATCAAAGGGACATTTTGTTGAACAACTTTTACCCACTTATAATTTCCCATAATTTATCGAAGAATTATCGAACAGCTATTAATGTGCAATTTTGTAAACAAATGCACTCTTGCAATAGTTGCAAGTCCACGGTTTGATGAGTATTTTGAAAAATATTTAGAAATATAAAACGTTATACTAGAGTTAAAAAATTTTAGTATGTTATTTCTTAATACGTGTACTAAATCATAAAAATATAAAATAACACATATTTCTTACAAAACAGCTATAAATTTGCAATTCTGTAAAATCATGTAATAGGGCCGCAAGTGTTACTACAAACTCAACAATATCACCTTTCTCGAAATGTTAATATGAAAATGCACTTTTTGGCATATTTTTCTCAAACACAGTGCTCTGAAAGATCTAATTTGTATAATTATATACCCATTGGTATTTATAAAACATTTTCTAGATCATATTTTTGATTTATGTTATTTAAATTCAGAACCTAAATTTGGTATCGATCAAAGGGACATTTTGTCGAATAATATTTTCCCAGTTATAATTTCCCATAATTTATCGAAGAATTGATAGTAATATATGAAGGTCTGAAATTAAAAAGTTAAGCATTGTTTAAAAGCAATATTTGAAAGTAGGGGAAAAAAGATGTATAACCAGCTATAACCTTGATTCTTATTACTTTGATATCGGTAGATAAACGGTAATCTTTGAAAATCCATAATAAAAGTATTTTTTCCGATGTTAGTTTTTTGGCATTAGCTAAAAATGTAATTACATTTTGTAATACGATTTTGTAAAATACCTTTAAAATTAAAAAAAGACATTGAAGCTATTTACCATATGGGCGTTTAATGTAGCCGTTCCAAGTTACATTGTAGTCATTTCTACAATGATGAAATAGCTGGCAGTTTTACTGAACGTAGTCAGATAACTGTTCGTTTGAAATGTGTTATTTGTTGTGATATAATTGTTATAGTTTTCACAATATAGTTTATATTTGCTCAAAGTCAAATTTGACCTTTGTGCCTCGCCCTGCTCTACATATATACTTTTTATTAAATTTACCTTAGTTCATCGAATGTTACTTGAAACTTTTCAAAAAACAGGACAAAGAAGAAATACTTAATTCATTTTTTATCTCTCCTCGCAAAAATTTGAAAATTTTGTATAAGCTCAATAGTATTATTCACAATTATACACAAAATCCAGAATCCAAAAAGAATCTGGAAAACTTGAAACGTAATCAATAAGTCGAAAGAACAAAAAATCCTTGGATTGAATTGTACTAGGGAATGCAATACAGGTATACCGAATTACCGGTAAACCGCTCGATTTTTCGGCGGTATTTTTACCGGTATTTACCCCAAAAATACCGGTATTTTCGGTATTTTTACATAAGCGCTATTTGATACATAATACATTAAAGTTTAAATTTCTCGGGACAAATTTATCTCTAAATTCCATAATCGCATAAACAGCTATATCTTCAAGTGATTCTATAAGATAAACAAATGTCATATATTATCTCAACTCGTCATTAAACTGAATATTTATTGCTTTACTAAGGGCTACATATTGTGTTACAATAAATAGAATTGGACTGATAGATAATGATGTTTGTTTCATCTATTGTAAAAATGTAACGATTTTTTAAGTGATATTTGTGCCAAAATATTTTATATCATACAGATTACATCTGTGTAATCTTTATTTTTTTCTAACTTTATACATAATAATTAGGATAATTACTAAATATTTTTGCTTCTTATTACAATTATGAAATATTATTTTTCGAAAACGTTTCGAAGGTTGAAAATACTATAGAAGCATCACATTGTTTTAAATAACAATACTCAACAATTATAGTAACTTATTATTTATCTTGACAAAGTATCCGATCTTAAATTAGTGTAGAAAAATTATTTTTTTTAAATATTCGAGATTAGGCTATTTTAACACATCGGATACAGACAATACAGTACATTATAACAATGTAATATGATCTTTTATGAGTTTTTGGTCTTTCTTACTCATAAGTTTGTTTTTGGTGAAAAGTACTCAATATACTCGATAGTGATAATGAATTAATTAAATTGGATGTAATTTTGTTAAATATTTATTTAAAAAATTAATTTATTGTTTTATTTTATTGTTTTTATTGTATAGTTGAATATAGTTGTAGTTGTATATACATTTTTTTACATTTGTACTAGTAACTTTCAATTTTGTTTACGTTTGTTTAAGATAATAAGAATACCGGTATTCCGGTTTTAAAATGAAAAATTATCGAAATACCGGTATTAAAATTTTCCATCGGTATTGCATTCCCTAAATTGTACGATGTTTTCTATAGAAAGTGTATAAAACTTCCAGTTTGATTGTATTGACAAAATATAGACAAACTAATATGGTTTATTGTTTTTATAATACCTAATTGTATATAGCATTCAAACAATACATCCTTATACACAAAGTATTAATATTTTTGATTCTCTATAAATTGTTTAAAATATACCTTACTTAGCAAAACAACGTTTGCCGGGTCATCTAGTCTAGTAATATATTTACTTTACCCCCAGCTTCCAACTGTTCTTCAATCCCCGGCCCCATTTTCATAACCGGCGTTCCCGACGGCGGCGCGCGTCTGTCGCAGAGCGCCTACTGGGTGCTCCGCCTGCCCTATGTTTACCATGCCGACGGGGGCCGCAGTTCGCCTTCTCACGAAGCAGCCTTCTATTCGACTGGTGTGATGGCCAGGACGCCACCAGGAGGACGCCTGTTGGCTGGAATGTTCGGGATTGCAGAGATGGAGAAGGGTACTGCTGCAGAGTAATGGATCGAAGTAAATTAATGGACAGTTAACAATTGTATGAATGGAATTGAAAGAGTTATAAAGGGTTTTGTTATAAGTGTTGTATAAGTTATTTATGGAATAAGTTTGTTTAAAATAAATAAGATAGATTTGTTTTTGATATGTGGTATTGAGAAGAATAAGAAGAGTTTTATGTTAATGAATTGGTTTATATTATTTTGTAATTTAATTTTTTTTATTAACTGTTCTTAGTAAGTAAATTCAAATAATATTATTTAATTAAGGTGATAATTAAATAATATTAATATATATATATATATATATATATACAGGCCCGGTCCTGGGGTCCTTAGCGCCCGCATGCAACTTTTTTTCTAGCGCCCCCCCACCTCTATTAATTTTCACCGTTTTAACAGTTTATCATTAAAATTATATAATATTACATATTTTTTAAAAAATTAATTTTTAATTATTTTGGATTTAGTACACAAAAAAATAGATATAATCTAGAGGGTATAAAATATATTGATTTTAAATTCATTTATTATTATCGATATCAATAAATAAAACAATCCCTGTCATAATATCACATTTCAGTAATATTCAATATGTAGTAAATTGGTTAAGGATGTAAGTTCGATTAGCATAGCAAAGGAATTAATATTTTTGTTAAATTAAATGTTAGAATTTAAGAAATGCATTTCAGAAATAGTATTTATTATTTTGATATAAAGATCTTGATATCAAAATAATAAATACTAATTCTGAAATTCATTTCTTAAATTCTATAACTTTAATTTAACACGAATATTAAGTGAAATAAATAAATTAATTTTTAATTATTCTGGATTTAGTGCACAAAAAATTAGATATAATCTAAAATCGTATAACATATATTGATTTTAAATTTATTTAAAAAATCGAGTCGATTCGGGGGTTGATTATAATCAAATATTTTGAAATTTTCAATTATTTTTAACGTATGTGCAATATTAATATCTCAAAAAACTAGCATTAAATTTTCTAACATAACACTCGTATTTTATGTAGGATTTTTTAAATTTTAATTTAATTTAATTTACAATATCCAAATCCAAATCATTTACAATATCCAAAATTGCGTTGTAAACGTCTCCTTATTGATATCGTAAGAGTCGTCATATTCAGAGTATCAACTTGTTGTTTTAAAGTTAAATTTTTAACATATTTCAGAATTATTGTTCAAAAATCAGTATAAAATGCAAAGAAATTACACATTTCTTGAACAATATTGAAAAAAAAAACTATTATATTTGATATGTATTATTTCTGTACAGTTAATAATTATTAAATTTAGAGTATGGACACCACTAGGTATAAAACAAGCCTTAAGAATTTTGTTCCAGTAAATTTTGCTTCCATATTTCATATTTGTTCCACGCATGTCTTCAACATTCAAAGTTCAACAGATGCGAAACATTTGCAACAAAAGCAAAAGTATTGTAATTTCTCGGAATAAACAAGTCATTTTCTAAGCACTGACTCCCCATTTCTTATAATTTGTTTATATTTTTTAACAAATTCTGATTCTAGATTTTATATAAAAAAATATAAATATTATATTATAAATTTAATTTCCGAAACTCGTTTTGGCGCCCCCTAAGGCGTGCGCCCGCATTTTTTGCATGCATCGCATGCAAGGCAAGACCGGCCCTGTATATATATTAAAAAAGTTTTTTTAAACTATTTCTTTATTTATTTATTTACTGTCGACGTTTCGGAACTAGGTACGTTCCATCTTCAGGACATCTGCCAAGAAACATGATCTTGATAAGATTTAAGCAAACAATATGTTGAAGAAAAGAAGATGGATTTTTTAATGAATAAAATAGGTGAAAAAATAATGTACAGAAATATGATAATATGATTAAAATGAAAATGATAAAAATAAATGAGTGAATTATATAACAGGATATTAAAAATGATAAAAAAAAATTTGAAAGTTTTGGAAAGTTTTAAGAAAAAGTTAATGAAAAAATTTGAATAATTACCTGTATGGTTGAAAATACGTTAGCACTTTTTCACTAAAAAAGATTTTATCATAAAATGAATTTATGAGTTACTTTTCAGCCGAATAGGTAAATTTTGTACATCAAATTTACTATAAGTTCTGTCTTTTTTAAATTTGTTATTTGAAAATAAACAATATTATTCTCTCGATGTTATGAGATCGGCTACTTGAAGACTGTAAGGGTGTGTCTGAGTGTGTTTTTATATGTGAGGATGTAAATACTTAAATTATTGATCTTAAATGGAAGTCGATATTAATTGTTTGTCAAAAAATGTAAAAAATTAAAATAAGAATCATGTAACAGGTTGTGATCTGATCTAATGTTGACACTATTAGAAACGTTCATAAGATTAATTATAATTCCAAAGTTTATTAAATTTTTGTATAAAATTTTCTTAGAAACATTATGAATATTTATACATAGATTTACAGATCAGTTTATGGTCTTTCTAATATTGCATCATAATATATGATATTATTAATGAATCTTGCAAATACAATGCTAAATATAAAAAATGTAACTAATTAAATCCACCAATGGCTAATAACTAGATACTAAATTTTAAATTTTGCACATTTTTCATATTTAATTTTGTTTAAAAAGGTTTTAAACATTATATACAGATCTGTAGACAATTTTATCAGGTTTTTAACAATACATAATAATATTGTTATATTTTTAATTATTAACTTCCCGTAGGGTAAGTTATTGTAATGGGCCGAAAATCGGAATTGAAAATTTTTACATTTCTCGACGTTTTGAAGGTTTCTGAACGTTTTGGCATACCTCAGAAAAAATGGATGTGTGTGTGTGTGTATGTGTGTGTGTGTGTATGTGTGTATGTATGCATGGATACAAATTTACAGTCACGTTTTCGGGCGCACGGACCAACCGATTTGAATGGTTCGATTCCTATTCATAGGGAAAAGAGCTGATTAGTTTTTGGTAGAGGCAGGTCCAGCAGGTACGGAGATAACGAGCAAAGAGTGCAGAAAATAGAAATCGAATTTTTGAGAGAACGGAGTATCCGATTTGAATGATCTAAAAAACATTCAATTAGTAATGATTGGGAGAAGTGTTTATTAGTTTTTGGCAAAGGCAGGCCCAGCCATTTCGAAGATACGGAGCTAAATATGTAAATTAATGGCAGTTTTTGAGAGAACTAAGCGTCCGATTTAAATGATTCAAAGAACTTTCTGCTTGTCTTAACAAAATAATTGATTTTGGAAAAAAATTTTTTGTTTCAATTTTTTTTTTAATTTTTTGTATATCGAAAATAATTCAGATTACAAATAATTTCAACTTTGCAATTTAGTTCATATAATTCTTATAAATATTAGACAATGTTACAATATTTATAATAATCTATTTGAAAACATTCAGTATTCCTCGAACATTTTGTTACGGTACGGGAAGTTCCAGCAATTTGCCTTAAGGCACGATGCCATAATTGTCTCATGACAGAATTCCACTTACAGCTAGTTTATAATAAAATAAACAAGGATATTAAAAACCGCAACTAATGAAACTAACGTCATTCACACTCCACTTGGATTTTAAGGTTTAAAAGATTTTTGTATAATATTTTGTTCGAAACGTAATGAATTGTTATACACGGGATCATATAATTTTATTAGGTTTTATTTTATGTATAATAATATATATTAATTATGTTAATTAACTAAACTACAATAATAATAAAAAAGTGTTCTTAGTGTTTGTAGTATTCTTCTTAACACTATTTGAAATTACCGCCAAATTGTCTCCCCTCTTTTCTGTTAACAATCTGTCAGCTTCATTCTTCGTCTCTGGCAACACCAAAACTTCAACTTTGCAATTTGTTATCCTAACCGACATTTTTTTGTAAATAGTTGTAAAAACATTCCTCCATTAATTAATTATGATTTTTTGTTAGTTTTTTTAATTTATAAACAATAATCATGTCGTCCAGTGATAGATTAATTTTAAGTATAGGTACACAAATAGAATCGGATAAGATTACAGATCGCCGAAAAGGTTATGAAGCTCTCTCTCATATTTTGACAAAAAACTTAGAACTGAATAATCCAGACGATGTGTGGTCTAAGTTATTTAATTCTATCAATTTTTGTCTGCAACAGGTGCGTGGAATACTTTAATGCCATTTAATAAAAGTGTTTAAGTGTTATTTTGTTTTAGGTTTGTGCCAAATTGAATGAAGATGTTTCTGTTGGTCATGCATCTCAGATCCAAATTAGAGATAAATCTAGTCATTATTTACAAGAGGTTCTTATGCTGGCAAATAGAGGTAAATGGCAATCATACTTTGTTAATAATTTCAGGTATTAATTTATTATGCTTTAGGGCCCTTTTACATCACAGGAAAATATATCGTGGAACAGTTTTTAGAAGCTTTATCAACTAGGCCTGTGTTGAAACAAGGAGGAGATATTTATCTTGTTGCTCTTGTTAAAACAATATCAATAAAAAATTTGTATGATGATTGTACACCTGCACAATGGATTGGTAAGCTCGAATATTATCCATATATATTGATATATTTATTATACTAATGTATTTATTATTTATTACAGAGTTGTGTGAATTCTGTATGAAACATCTCAACAATACAAATTCAAACCTCGATCTTTCAACATTGGTAAAAATATTAAAATTCGTTGTCTGCAACGGTTGCAAAGGCTCCAAACTTGCCATTAAGCTTCTTAAATTTTTGCCAAACGTTATAAAGCTATTTGATGTGAGTTGTATTAAAACATCAAAGCATTTACAAGAAGAAATATTTAGTTTAACAATTGCCATATGCGATGAAGTAAGTTTTGTAAATATACACATATTTTTTGAAGTATCTAGTGGCAGGTTAGTCAATACAGTTTATTTTAGATTTCAACAAATTTTCCAAGAACGTTTTGTGCATTTGCGAATGATATCACACCAAAGTTGTTATTGTTGTATGATTCTTCGGATGGAAATAATGAGAAAAAGGTAATTTTCATATTTATATTTATATTTAGATTTCAAACTTGCCAGATCTTAGGTTTTTTAGATAATAGGTTTTTAGATTATAGGTTTGAGATTTTTTAGGTTTGAGGAGAATTTTCAGATTTTAGAATATTTAGTATATAGATTTTCTAGATTTTAGTTTTTTTAGGTCTTTTAGTATTTCTAGAATACAGATTTTGGGTTTTAGGTTTTAGAATTCAGATTTCAGGTTATACGTTTTAGGTTTTAAGATACCCAGATTTTAGAATTTCTAGATTCTTTCAGATTTTTTACATTATAGGATATTTGGATTTTAGGATTTTTTAGATTTTAAGATTTCTAGATTTTAGGAATTTTTAGGTTTCAGGTTTTTTTAGGTTTTACGTTTTTTAGATTTTTTTTTATCATTATCATTCAATAAATTTGATGAATTTACAATAGTCGGCCAAAAAGGGACATTGTATACTACAAGGGCATGTTGGAAAAAACTACTCAGTAGTTGTTTTTTTCATTCGATATAAAATTCACAATATTTTATTGACAATTATATAATTTTAACTATTTACTTATTGAATAATTTCTATAGATTTAAAAGATTTTTAGATTCAAGGGTTTTTAGATTTTAGGATTTCTAGATTTTAGCATTTCTAGATTTTAGCATTTCTAGATTTAGCATTTCTAGATTTTAGCATTTCTAGATTTTAGGATTTCTAGATTTTAGGATTTCTAGATTTTAGGATTTCTAGATATTAGGAATTTTTAGACATTAGGAATTTCTAGATTTTAGGATTTCTAGATTATGGGATATTTTAAATTTTTGGATTTCTAGTATTTTGGGTATTCTAGATTTTAGGTTTTTAGGTTTTAGAATTTCTAGATATTAGGAATTTTTAGATTTTAGCATTTCTAGATTTTAGGATTCCTAGATTTTAAGAATTTTAAATTTTAGCATTTCTAGATTTTAGGATTTTTAGATCCTAGGATTTCTACATTTTAGGATTTCTAGATAATAGATATTTTAAATTTTTGGATTTCTAGTATATTGGGTATTCTGGATTTTATGTTTTTAGATTTTAGGACTTCTAGATATTAGAAACTTTTAGATTTTAGCATTTCTAGATTTTAGGATTTCTAGATTTTAGGATTTTCTAGATCTTAGGAATTTTAGATTTTAGCATTTTTCTAGATTTTAGGATTTTTAGATTCTAGGATTTCTACATTTTAGGATATCTAGATTATGGATATTTTAAATTTTTAGATTTCGAGTATTTTGAGTATTAGTAGATTTTAGGTTTTTAGATTTTAGGATTTCTAGATTTTAGCATTCCTAGATTTTAGGATTTCTAGATTTTAGGATTTCTAGATTTTAGGATTTCTAGATTATAGATATTTTAAATTTTTAGATTTCTAGTATTTTGAGTATTCTAGATTTTAGGTTTTTAGATTTTAGGATTTCTAGATTTTTGGATTTTAGCATTTCTAGATTTTAGGATTCGATTTTAGGATTTCTAGATTTTAGGATTTCTAGATTTTAGGATTTTTAGATTCTAGGATTTCTAGATTTTAGGATTTCTAGATTAGATATTTTAAATTTTTGTATTTATAGTATTTTGGTTATTCTAGATTTGAGGTTTTTAGATTTTTAGATTTCAGGATTTCTAGATATTAGGAATTTTTAGATTTTAGGATTTCTAGATTTTAGGATTTCTAGATATTAGGAATTTTTAGATTTTAGGTTTTTCTAAATCTTAGGAATTTTAGATTTTAGGATTCCTAGATTTTAGCATTTCTAGATTTTAGGATTTTTAGATTCTAGGATTTCTACATTTTAGGATATCTAGATTTAAGATTTTTTAGCTTTTAAGAATATCTAGATCATAGGATTTCTAGATTTTAGATTTTTTAGCTTTTAGGGATATCTATAATAGATTATAGGTTTTCTATATTTTAGAATTTTTAAGTTATAGTATTTCTAGATTTTAGAAATTTCTAGATATATCTATAATCTAGAAATTCCTAAAATCTAGAGATACTAAAATCCAGAAATCCTAAAATCTAAAAAAAAAACTAAAATCTAAAAAATCTATAATCCAGAAATTCTTAAAATCTAGAAATCCTACAATCTAAACAACCTAAAATATAAATTTTCTAAAACTAAAAGTCTAAAATCTAAAGCTTAAAAAGTCTGGTCAGATTATAAGAATTTTAGATTCGAGAATTTTTAGATTTTAAGTTTTTTATATTAGTAGGATTTTTAGATTTCACGATTTCTTGATTTTAGAATTTCTATTTAATTATATTTGTGTATTTATTAATTTGCATATTTAGTATGCAGTATTTTTATTGACATATTTATATAATTTTTAAATTTCAGGAACTTTTTTTTAATTTGTTACACACATTTGTTAAGAATACTTGTTCAAATAACGAATATCAAACTCATTACGATTCTATATACAAAGTTATTGTCACTGAAATCAAAACATTGCAATCGAATTTTATGAGGAGAAAGATAAAGAATGAAAATGTATCAGAGAACCTTGTTAAATTGGCAGTGGATGTTTGCAAACAGGTAGGATAGTAAATACATACATACATACATACACACACATATATATTTATATATATATATATATATATATATATGTATTTATGTATGTATTTTAATATTATAGGTTTTTTGGAAACAGCAACAAAACACAAATGATTCCGACGAACGTTTAGCTAAAAGAAAGTGTCTACCTCAAGGACTAGTCAATTTTCAAGAATTAGTATACTGTGATAATAGTGTTAATTGGATTTGGTACATTTGAATAACATCAATACAGCACCAATTAAATATCTGCAATTTTTAATTTATTAATTTATTTTTGCAGGTTTCGAGTTTTAGTCGCATTTGTGAATAAATATCCTGAACAGATGCACGACGCTGATGGAAATTCATTCGTAGAACTTCTTATTAATGTCAAGGTAAATCAGATAATATAAATATAATACTAGCTGTAAGTGGAATTCTGTCTTAAGGCAATTAAGGCATCGTGCCTTAAGGCAAATTGCTGGAACTTCCCGTACCAAAAATTATTATTTTTTTAAAAACGATTGACATTTTTAAAAAAAATTTACTTCGAAAAAATGAGATTTTTGAGAAACTATAAATTGGACAAAAAATTACTTTTTTTTGAAAAAATTTTTTTTTTAAATTTAAAAAAAATTTTTTTTTTTGAATTTTTTTTTGAAAGAATGTTTTTTTTATTTTGGCATATCTTGAAAGATCTGAACTTTTTTTCATAGCGGCGTACTGCTTTAACTGCATAGAGACAAAATGTCAAAGCGCGTAAGCGCCGCGTCGCCGTCTAACGAATAAACATTGGTACGGAACCCATAGGAATGTAAACAAAATTTATACTTATTGTTGAAATCTCTATAAAATATCCGATAATTTGATGTGCATATGTCTAATGATCATTTTGACCGCCAGATGGCATTTTTTTTTACTTTATTCGTTACATCTCCGAAACCGTTAGACCTGTCCTCATGAAAATTTGTTCAGTCTTCATCTTGTTAATACAAGTAAAATGTTTTTTGAATTATTAAAATCGGACGCTTCGTTCTCTTAAAAACTAAGTTACCGTTTTCGGCACTTTTTGCCCCGTATCTTCGGAACGGCTAGACCTGCCTTCGCCAAAAACTAATCAGCACGTCTCCTCATCAATACGAATCGAATGTTTTTTGAATTATTCAAATCGCTTCATCCGTGTTCCCGAAATCGTCGACGAAAATTTGTATCCGCACATACATACATATACGCACACACACACACATACATCCATTTTTTCTAAGGTATGCCAAAATGTTCAGAAACCTTTGAAACGTAAAGATATATAAAAATTTTCATTTTCGATTTTTTTGCGATTACTATAACTTGCCCTATGGGAAGTTAATAATTCATGAATTTTTATTTATAAAACTTTTAGGATTCGTGTTCAGTATCGCATCACTTCGATTTATTAAGCAATTGTGTGGAAACATTAGTTGAATTCGAAATCTTCACCAATGTAGAATGTGCGGAAAATTGGTTTAAATTATTCGAAGCCACTTGCAGAAATGTTGGTTTAGGAGAACAAGAATCGATAGTCAGTCCATGTTGTAGAATTGTCGATGGACTCGTCCTTAAGTGTTTAAACGAACCAATTTTGATGGACAAATTTTTGAAATCGACGTTGTTAAATGATTTAGTAAAGTGTTATACTAGTGGAAAATTGTTTAAAAGTGATGAAAGCTTGAAATTGCTGGAGGATATTTTGATTTTGATATCGGTGAATGATGGCTCAGGTAAGTGATTATAAAAATATTCATATATATATATATAAATATAAATATATATATATATATATATATACATATATATACATACAGGGTATCCCAGAACTCAACGACAAGCCGATACGGGTTGATGTTATTGATCGTAACTGTCCTGATTTGGAGTCGAAATATCAAAGCGCGTAAGCGCCGCGTAGTCGTCTAACTTGTAAACATTGTTACGGAACTCATATAAATGTACACAAAAATTGTACTCATCATTATGATCTTTATAAATTATCTGATAATACGATGTACATATGTCTAAAGTTCATTTTTGACCGCAAAATGGCATTATTTTTTACTCTTTTTATTGGATCTCCGGAGACGCTGGACCTGCCTTTACAAAAATTTTACCAGTTGTTCATTTCACCAATACAAGTAAAATGTTTTTTGAATCATACAAATCGGATGCTCCGTTCTCTTAAAAAATCATTTACCATTTTTGGCACTTTTTGCCCCGTATCTTCAAAACGGCTAGACCTGCCTTTGCCAAAAACTAATCAGCACGTCTCCTTATCAGCAGGAATCGAATGTTTTTTGAATCATTCAAATCGGTTGATCCGTGTTCCCGAAATCCGCACACACACACACACACTTTTAGATTTGAGGATTTCTAGATTTGAGGATTTCTAGATTTTAGAATTTATAGATTTTTGAATTTATAGATTTTAGAATTTATAGATTTTAGAATTTCTAGATTTTAGAATTTATAGATTTTAGAATTTATAGATTTTAGAATTTATAGATTTTAGAATTTATAGATTTTAGAATTTATAGATATTAGAATTTATAGATTTTAGAATTTATAGATTTCAGAATTTATAGATTTCAGAATTTATAGATTTTAGAATTTATAGATTTTAGGATTTATAGATTTTAGGATTTATAGATTTTAGGATTTGTAGATTTTAGGATTTCTAGTTTTGAAGATTTTTAGATTTGAGGATTTCCGATTTTAGGATTTTTAGATTTTAAGTTTTCTAGATTTAAGGCTATCTAAATTTTAGGATTCTTAGATTAGATTTTAGTTTTTTAATTTTCAGGATTACTAGATTTGATGATTTCTAGATTATAGGATTTTTAGATTTGAAGAGTTTAGATTTGAAGATTTTTGGATCTTAAATTTTCTAAATTTTAGTTTTTCTTCTAAATTTTAGAACTTTTAGTTTTAGAATTTATAGATTTTAGAATTTATAGATTTTAGAATTTATAGATTTTAGAATTTATAGATTTTAGGATTCATAAATTTTAGAATTTATAGATTTTAGGATTCATAGATTTTAGGATTCATAGATTTTAGGATTCATAGATTTTAGGATTTCTAGATTGTAGGATTTCTAGATTGTAGGATTTCTAGATTGTAGGATTTCTAGATTGTAGGATTTCTAGATTGTAGGATTTCTAGATTGTAGGATTTCTAGATTGTAGGATTTCTAGATTGTAGGATTTCTAGATTGTAGGATTTCTAGATTGTAGGATTTCTAGATTGTATGATTTCTAGATTGTAGGATTTCTAGATTGTAGGATTTCTAGATTGTAGGATTTCTAGATTGTAGGATTTCTAGATTGTAGGATTTCTAGATTGTAGGATTTCTAGATTGTAGGATTTCTAGATTGTAGGATTTCTAGATTGTAGGATTTCTAGATTGTAGGATTTCTAGATTGTAGGATTTCTAGATTGTAGGATTTCTAGATTGTAGGATTTCTAGATTGTAGGATTTCTAGATTGTCGGATTTCTAGATTGTCGGATTTCTAGATTGTAGGATTTCTAGATTGTAGGATTTCTAGATTGTAGGATTTCTAGATTGTAGGATTTCTAGATTGTAGGATTTCTAGATTGTAGGATTTCTAGATTGTAGGATTTCTAGATTGTAGGATTTCTAGATTGTAGGATTTCTAGATTGTAGGATTTCTAGATTGTAGGATTTCTAGATTGTAGGATTTCTAGATTGTAGGATTTCTAGATTGTAGGATTTCTAGATTTTAGGATTTCTAGATTTTAGGATTTCTAGATTTTAGGATTTCTAGATTATAGGATTTCTAGATTATAGGATTTCTAGATTATAGGATTTCTAGATTATCGGATTTCTAGATTATCGGATTTCTAGATTATCGGATTTCTAGATGATAGGATTTCTAGATGATAGGATTTCTAGATGATAGGATTTCTAGATTATAGGATTTCTAGATTATAGGATTTCTAGATTATAGGATTTCTAGATTATAGGATTTCTAGATTATAGGATTTCTAGATGATAGGATTTCTAGATGATAGGATTTCTAGATGATAGGATTTCTAGATGATAGGATTTCTAGATGATAGGATTTCTAGATGATAGGATTTCTAGATGATAGGATTTCTAGATGATAGGATTTCTAGATGATAGGATTTCTAGATTATAGGATTCTAGATTATAGGATTTCTAGATTATAGGATTTCTAGATTATCGGATTTCTAGATTATCGGATTTCTAGATGATAGGATTTCTAGATGATAGGATTTCTAGATGATAGGATTTCTAGATGATAGGATTTCTAGATGATAGGATTTCTAGATGATAGGATTTCTAGATGATAGGATTTCTAGATGATAGGATTTCTAGATGATAGGATTTCTAGATTATAGGATTTCTAGATTATAGGATTTCTAGATTATAGGATTTCTAGATTATCGGATTTCTAGATTATCGGATTTCTAGATTATCGGATTTCTAGATGATAGGATTTCTAGATGATAGGATTTCTAGATGATAGGATTTCTAGATGATAGGATTTCTAGATGATAGGATTTCTAGATTATCGGATTTCTAGATTATCGGATTTCTAGATGATAGGATTTCTAGATGATAGGATTTCTAGATGATAGGATTTCTAGATTGTAGGATTTCTAGATTGTCGGATTTCTAGATTGTCGGATTTCTAGATTGTCGGATTTCTAGATTGTCGGATTTCTAGATTGTAGGATTTCTAGATTGTAGGATTTCTAGATTGTAGGATTTCTAGATTGTAGGATTTCTAGATTGTAGGATTTCTAGATTGTAGGATTTCTAGATTGTAGGATTTCTAGATTGTAGGATTTCTAGATTGTAGGATTTCTAGATTGTAGGATTTCTAGATTGTAGGATTTCTAGATTGTAGGATTTCTAGATTGTAGGATTTCTAGATTTTAGGATTTCTAGATTTTAGGATTTCTAGATTTTAGGATTTCTAGATTATAGGATTTCTAGATTATAGGATTTCTAGATTATAGGATTTCTAGATTATCGGATTTCTAGATTATCGGATTTCTAGATTATCGGATTTCTAGATGATAGGATTTCTAGATGATAGGATTTCTAGATGATAGGATTTCTAGATGATAGGATTTCTAGATTATAGGATTTCTAGATTATAGGATTTCTAGATGATAGGATTTCTAGATGATAGGATTTCTAGATGATAGGATTTCTAGATGATAGGATTTCTAGATGATAGGATTTCTAGATGATAGGATTTCTAGATGATAGGATTTCTAGATGATAGGATTTCTAGATGATAGGATTTCTAGATGATAGGATTTCTAGATTATAGGATTTCTAGATTATAGGATTTCTAGATTATAGGATTT